TATAGGGAGGTGAACTATATAATAATAATAATGATGATGATGATGATGAGTTAAAAAAGACTTTGAGATGTAAGATTAATGTGAAGATTAAACAATGATAAAAACAGTTGTCAAGGTTAGAGGATCCACTAATGATATTTCAAATAAGTATAATATAAATTTTTTTTATTACTCAACTGGAAACCATACACAAAGAAGGTTTTAATCGGATGATTAATAACTTATTATAAATTATTAACATGATCATATTAATTATCTTATTTAAGTAACACCAAACTTTTAAATATTATCAAGAATTCATGATGCTAACTTATGTTAACAACAAATCAAGTTCCTTTCATAACACAGATGTAGGTTATACTATATAGTTAGCTATGAAAGTACCAAGCATTCATTGTACCAAGCATTCATTATACCATATGTTATACAACACAAATTTAGATTAACCATTTAACAAGCAAGACATTAAGAATTAATAAGATACAAATGATAAAACATGTTAATAGTAAGTTGTTTAGGATATAATCATTGAAGTCCATATTGAGTTTATATTATACTTATCATAACATCATTAGTGAAATCTTTTCACATTGACATAATATACTTAGCTAAAAATAATAAAGAAGAGAAACATAAATAAACACGAGGAGAACATGATTATATAAATATAATAAAAGAAATAAAAGGCATAAATAAGAGATTAATGAAAGCAAAACTTAAGCATTATAAAGATATAAAGAAAGAGAGCAAGAAGATGATCTTGATATGAAAACCAAAAAAACCTAAATGCATGGTAAATGTCTCTTTTTATAGGCCAAAATTCAGAACTATTGATTTAATGACTAATTATTGAGTGAGTGACCACCTTTTGACTTTGTGACAATCCTTATCTTCTTATCTGAATAAATGTCATTTATAAGATCAGAATTTGAACAGATAGTCTTGATGAAAGTTTTGAAAAATTATTTCTGCTTTCCAACATAAAAAGAAGCAGTGTATTTGGACTTCTAGAATTTGAGATATGGCTGAACACTAAATAATATCTAGGCTATAGGATAGATTCCTACTTCTCTTTTGATGCTAAGATTTGGACTTTCAAATGAAAAAAATTGAATTTTAAACTCTCATGAATGTTTTAAGCTTATATCTTAGCTTTCTAGCCATAAAACCAAACTGAAATTCAAGATCTATAGCTCTAGATATGACCCAATGACTAAATAGTATCCCAGTTTAAATTGAATTAACATTTCTTTTTTAAGTTTAGTCTTTTCTCTATCTTTTCACCTTTAATAGTTAATCACATCAATTAATCCTTTGAATTGTGAGACATGCCTGCATTTAAAATGAATATTTATCATAAATAAAAGGTATCTTATATTATGAGACTTGTTATTATAAAACATGCTCTAGTTAATGAGTTATTGATATTTCATGTGTAAAATAATGATATAAAATCTTGATAAAAATATACTTTTAAATACTAATCATGAGGTAATGTTTGTGCTTTTTGTACCTTTGATCTTCAGTAATAATTTATTTGTATCTTTTAAACTGAAACCACTACTTTAACACCCATACACTTTTTGTTTTTTAAAACACACAACCCATAGATATTTGTTCCACCTAAAAAAGTTAAGATATGATATAAAAAAATGTAAACATCATGATATAAATATATAAAAAATATCATTTTTGGGCTGATTACTAGGTTGATATGATGAATTGTTCGAGTTTCACCAAGCCAATTAAAAGCTTATATTTTATTTATTTTAAACTTGGCTAAAATTCTAATTCTCAGGTTAACTCATCGAGTTAAATTTAATAACTATACTAAAATATATCAAAAGAAAAAAAGAAATACATCCAACGGAAATAAAGAGAAAAAGAAGTGACACGTTCGAGACATGCACAAGGCCACAATCGCAAGTAGCTCAAATCATAGGGGACTAATATTGAAGCCTGCTCTTCTGTCCTACATGCACTTTTTACAAATTAACAGCATAAACATTAAGGCTAGGTGTCTCTTTTGTTTTATTGTTCACAGTAACTAAAAAGGTTGCATGGGGCAGGGGTTTAATTAAGCATAGGTATTGCTATATGATCTGACAGTATTTTGAGTTAATAATAGCAGTAATGCCACGCATATAGTCAACCTTCGACCAAAAAAAAACCTCTTCCAATAATCGACTCCAGAAGAAACTAAAGCAATTGCCACCCATGGTATCCAGCTTTATTCCATATAATCTGACCATTTAACAATTAGATTATGATTAAATATTTATAGAAATTTTTAAATATTGTTTTTTATATAGTAGCAACAATATTGTTATATAAATCATCAAATTTTTAGATACTAGAGATCTTGTTGAGGCTTCTTGATTTTGATAATTTTTGTGATTTTTTTATTTTTAAATTTCATATTTATTTAAGATTTTATATTTTTTTCTTTGTAATTTTAGATTTTTGTTTTTGATTTTTAATTGAGATAGAATTTCTAGTTTTCTTAAGGCCTTACAAACCTTCTAAAAAGACAAACTTTACTATTAGTATTTTAGAGAAAATAAACTTGTTGATTTGGAGCTCATATTTGTAACTCCTTTCATACATTAAAATATCTTATGTTTTTTTTGTTTAATTATTATCTTTAATTTCTATTTGTTTTAGAAATTTTATATGAAGATATTCTTATTATTTTTAGTAGGTTATAAATTATATTTTCTTTCTCTTTCTTCTATTTATTTATTTCTTTAAAATTAACATAAGAGAGTAACAAATGTCATCAATTACTTCGTGGATACCATAAATCTCCCCCACAAAAGGACATTTTCAACCAAAATGTTTATTTTTTGAAACAATTCTTTTAGAGTTTCCTCAAAAAACATGTATTTATTTATTTTAATAAATATAAATTACTTTTAATATTTATCTTTTTTATAGGACATATCTTTTCACTATTGATCTCAATTTATTCAATAAAATCTTCTATAATTTCTCCAAAAACAAAAACTTTTCAATCAAAATGACTATTTTTAAGACAACTCTTTTAAGATTTCCTCATCAAATATGTTTTTAACTTTAATAATTAGAAATCAGTTTTGATAATTATCTTTTATAATAAGATATCATTTCATTAATAATCTGAATTTATTAAAAATTAATCTTTTATAACTTCTCCATAGAAAATACCTTTTAAACTGTAATAAATATTTTCTTAAAACAATCATTTTAGAGTTTTCTCAACAAACATTTTTTTAGTTTTTTAATAAATAGGAATTAGTTTCATTTATCATTCCATTAATTATCTCAACTTATTAAATTGACTCTTTTATAACTTCTCCACAAATATATATATATATATATATATATATATATATATATATATATATATATATATATATATATATATATATATATATATATATATATATATATATATATATATATATATATATATTGAGAATCATTTCATTCTAAGAGTTTTGTACCTTCAAATTAAAAGGAGTTTTTTAAACCATAAAATGTTTTTCACTATTTTAGAAGAAAAAAGGATACTACCATATATATGATGGATACAGTAATTTCCGCAATATAAGATAATATTATCGGTTAACAGCTTTCAATCAACGATAATTTTTCAAATATGAACACATACATGAGTAATCATTGTAAGTAATCTTACTAAAAAATCTACAGGCAATTTCATAAAATTTAACTTATTAATACTATTAAAAGTCTTTTCGAAGGATTATATTTGAGAAGCTGCCCGCAACGTGCTGTTCATCAATTAGAGTGTGTGTGTGTGTGTGTAATCCACATGGGAGTAAATGTAATAATATCTGCACACCAATTTCTGTCGCAGGTACTCTTATATTTTGAACCGACCATTTATTAATTAAACTGCTGCATCATTTTCATTCAAATTGTGGGCCTGCTGGTGCTGGAATTGCATAGTTGTAAGATTTTCTTAAGTAGTCAAAGAATTATTGCCAATATCCTATGATCTTCACTGTTGCCTTATCATTACATTGAATTCAACTGGGAAAAAAAAAGGTTTTATTCTCTGTTAAAGAATTTTTCCATGCTACAAGGTAACAAATCATATGTTCCAAAATCACATGGCCATTTTCGATGGCTGAAAGCAGCATCTGCACTTCATTCTGTGCTTATCCTATATATATATATATATATATATATATATATATATACACACACCGATGAGCGTGCTCTGGAGATCGCATTCTAATGTAATTTTCATTTCGAAAATGTAACCATTTTTTATTTTTTTTTAAAAGGCTCCGTTGTTAATTGATGGCTTAAATTGTACGTACTTCAAAAAAATAATATCGTGTCCTAACAAAATGTAAAGCATATATACACATAAAATGTAGGTCTCTTAATTAAAAAAGAAGGTGCATGAGACATCTTTGATCTCAGAACATATATATAATTGTTGGTTTTGATTATACACAAATTGATGAGAATTCGTCGACTGAAACGCACACTAGATTAACAGTGTAAGTACACATATTTAAGGATATTCTTGTCACTTGTAGATTACTTTCGAAATAACAGAACGCCCTGTCCTTTTCATCTTGGAAGCATGTGCACAAAGTGCAAATAAGCAACCTCAAAACACAACATAAAGCAGCTCAAAAACATAGATATCATATGACAAGTGTGGGGTTAAAAGCTTTTGCCATTAAGCCTTTCGAATTATTGTGGAATTGTTGGGACTCCTTAGATTTGGTGTTTTTCCCTTTGCTCTCTTGCATTATTGCACTTATAAAGAGAAAGCATGGCAAATAATGTTATTACAGTACCCTAATCCTACCCTAACTCTACAATCTCTCAAAACAATCACAATGTACTACCCCAAATCAAGGAAGGTGGTATTAATATAAGCTTGTAGAAAACCATTAATTAGTTTATGGTCTGAAAACACAACCCGCCAGCTTTTCTTGCCCCACTTTATAATAAAGGTAAAGCAGGGAATAAAAAAAGAACACTAAATGAATCAAAGAAAGAATTGAAGGAAAGAGAAGGAAACATATGCAGAGCTCCTTAACCCCACATCTCTATAAAAATTCTTTGAGGACTCAGACTCAAAGTTTCTTCAGCCTCATCTGAGAAAGCATACAGGACACTCAAAGCTTTAAGCAAAGGGGTTTTATGGGTGCATAAACAAGGAAATTTGACAAAGTTATTAAAGAAAGAGAAGTTGAGGGGAAAAAAAAAAGAGCAAGGTGAATTTTCTTTTGTTTTTATGATTCTCTTTTGAAGCACGAATTGAAGTGTGTTTTTTGCAGAGGCCAAGCTCATCACTGCAAAGCTAATGATGGCAGGAAACCCTAGCTGGTGGAGCATGCATCCACCTTCACAGCAAACTTCTGCTTTATTATCTTCTTCTACATCTATCTTCCCCTCCCAATATGTATTTGGATCTTCCTCACTCTCTTCGAATCCTTTGCCTGATAATCAAGAGCTTCCACTGTCATGGAGCCAACAACTTTTGTAACTCTCTCTCTCTCTGCAGTTCATCTTGTTAATACGTAACATGCTACACTTAATTAATAAGGTCATTTGACTTTTTAATCCACAATTCATATTTCATTTTTTTTTTCATGCAATCTTTCTTATCTCCCTTTGTTCTTTTTTGATTCTTCTCCTTTGCTTGTCCTAAAAATTCGAAGCCTTTCACATACATGAGATAATTTCCATGGATTTTTTATCTAGAAATTTAACTCCTTACTCCTTATTCTGTGTGCGTGTCTTCTTTGGAATTTTCCTTACATATAGCTGACAGTCATGCTAATATGTACAGATCATCTTGACTTTTGAGTTAATCTGTCAATAATTTGATTGCTTGTTTTTCAGGGGTGGTTCTTCAGGAGATGAAGATAGGTACGGTATGAGTCAATTTCAGGCTAAAAAGTTGGAAAATTGGGAAGACCAAATCTTAAATCCATCTCCAAGTATTTCTGTAGTTGCTGATGTAAAGCAAGAGGTTTCCCACAACAGCAACTTATATGGTCATGGGGATGAAGACTTTCAGGCACTTAGGTCCGCAGCTTGGCCACAAGTGATGCCAGTCTCTTCCCCTAGGTCTTGCGTCACAAGTATAAGTAGTACTAATATATTAGACTTCTCTTACAACAAGGCTGATGGGGCGAATCAGCATCCGGATCAATCTTCCGAGGTAAGATATATGAAGTCTCCATGTTTCATAAAATGTGATCAACTGTTCTGCAATGAATAATTATCATGACATGATCAATTGTTGAATCATATAAATTCCAGCCAGCTAGCCAGCTTGGTGATTTATTTATCTGGGTTTCTCTAATTTCTTCTATTTTGTTCCTTTTCTGCTAGTGTAATAGCACCGCCACAGGTGGAGTATGTAAGAAGGCTAGGGTTCAGCCCTCTTCAAGCCAACCTCTCAAGGTGACAAGACACACAGCATCTCTCTCTCTCTCTCTCTCTCTCTCTCTCTCTCTCTCTCTCTGTATGTGTGTGCGCCTGCCTGCCTGTGTCTGTGGGCGTTTAGTGTCTTTCTTGATTGTCTATTTCTTTGAGCATGTGTGATTCTTCTGCTATGTTTCATCTATTAAAAATATGATAGTCTTATATATATATAAACCTAGCTAGTGCTCTATAATTTACTAATATATATTTTGTTACCACGGAGTCAGGTGAGGAAGGAGAAGTTAGGTGATAGAATCACAGTTCTTCACCAAATGGTTTCTCCTTTTGGAAAGGTAAACCATCCCCTTCTTGATCTACAAACTAAACAGAAAGAATTGAGCAAACAGTTTTTCTTTTCTTTTCTATGTCGAAACTCATAAAGGATTTTTTTTTTCGTTTGAATTTTGCACTGACCAAACTTCTCTCTCTTTTTTACCAAAAAAAAAAAACATCGTCCTTTATCTTTAGTGATTTGGCTCTCTATTTAACATTAAAGGATAAAAAAGATGACTTGGGGTGTGGTGACCTGTTGCTCTTTTGCAGACTGACACGGCTTCTGTCCTGTTAGAAGCTATTGGGTATATCAGATTCCTTCAGGGTCAAATTGAGGTGATGTTTCTTCCACATCTTACTTATACTCTCTGCAAGCTGCTCAGAATCAGTGAGGAGCATGCAGTTAAAGTGTTCAATTATTCATTCTTTCTCTAACCATTCTTTAGTTATGGAAGTTACAAAATCTTATTCTCTATTTTGTCTCCTCCATGCACCCCCCTTGATTTTTGCAGGCTCTTAGCTCCCCTTACTTGGGCACTGCCTCAACAAATATGAAGAACCATCAACAATCTGTAAGCACCTATACATAACTTGTTAATGCAAGACCAAGATCCTCCCTCCCTCCCTCCCTCCCTCCCTCTCTCTCGCCCCCCCCTCCCTCCCTCTCCTCCAAGCATGCACATGACTGACTAGGCAAGTGTTGAGAATCGTGTTTAACTAACGAGGGGAGGAATTTCTTGTTAGGGTCAAGAAGAAAGAGTTAGTGCATTTTCTGAAGACATAGGCCAGGTATTGCTTTATTGGATCCACCACCTCTGTAAAAAGCAACTAGGATGGTTTTGTTAAGTGGAAAGAAAGCATATATGCAAAAAAACTTAACATTAATTTATCATTCGTAAAAATAGCAATGAAAGAACAAGGTTCCTAGCTTTATGCACATTTATCTAGTTAAAAGCATAATTTGGGACTACTTTAGAGTTAATTATTAGTTGGGAATCAAAAAAGGGCTGGGAAAGATGGATAATGTTAATAATTTTTCCTTTTCTTTAATTTTCCATTCAGCTGTTGAATGACATCTGCTTGAAAAGAAAAAGGAGCTCCTAACAAGGCACTTATTTTTCTCTGTCTAATATCTATATGCTAATTAATAAACTTAATTTCCCCTTGTTGTGCATTAATATACTATGTTTTAGTCGATATATTACTTTGCAATCATCACGATTATCCTCCTCGTTATGTCTCTTTAATTATTGGTTTTGAACAAAAGCTGGAACGTCGAGTTTACATGCCTTTGGACATTGGAATTAGATTGTTTGAAGAGCTTGTTTATAAGAAAATGTCATTAATTAGTACCTTCGCTTCTTTTTCTTTTTTCCTTTTTCTTTCCCAATAAACTTTATGAGTATATAAGCATTTGATAATGTCTGCAGGATAATCAAGATAACCCAAAGGATTTGAGGAGTAGAGGACTGTGCTTGGTTCCTCTGTCTTGCACTCAGCATGTTGGAAGCGATCACAACGGCGCCGATTATTGGGCTCCGGCTATGGGAGGAGGGTTTTGATGGGTGCAATATTCCAAGGCTGATTCAAACTTTCAAAGAATGATATAACATCATGAGCAATCACTCTGCTGCAACATTCCAAGGGTAATTGCTCATGATGGTATGCAATTCTAATTAAAATAACGGCCATTAATTGTTTCTGAACCCTCTAGCTAGCTAGTCTCACCCTTTCTGTCTGTTGATGTTTTCTTCGAGCTACGTTGTAGAGCTCCATGAAAATTGAAGTTTAATTAGCATTTTTCTTTCATCTCAAAATGCTTTATCCAGGATTGGCATTCTATCTTCTTATATTATTGAAGAATAGAATGGTTTCTGCCTCTATTTAATGTAACTTGTTTTCCTTGATCGTTTATGTTCTAATTTCTCATTCCCATGACGGCATTCGGAAGCTTACAAAGATTTTTCACACCTATGCATGATTCTAAAAAGATTAATCACACATAGAAACATTGTTGAAAAACACATGCCATTAAGTAGTTTTACCGACGGATTAATTCCGTTCGTGAGATAAACTAAATCCGTTGATAAAATTTTTACCGACAGCACCACCGATGAAATACGTCCATTGGAGGCGTTATCGTCAATAATTTTTCTTTCCATTGCTCATTCTGTTGGCAATTAAAAAGAGCAACCATCAACAGAACATGAACAGTATTACAGACGGCTCAACGCACCAAAAAAAATTCCTGTGAGAAATGTACCAACATAATTATTCTGTCTATATTTTAAATAGTAATTATTGATGGACTAGCCGTCAGTGAATATGATATGGGCAGTAATAGTAATTATTGATGGACTAGCCGTCAGTGAATATGGTATGGGCAGTAAATATTACCAACTTTGAAAAATAGACAGAATAAATTTGTCAGTAATAGTCAGGGTCAACATTGATAGAATTTATCCGTCGGTGATTATGGCATAGCCCGTAAATTTTTTCCAATCTCGGTAAAATACCGACGACTATGTTCCCTCAGTAATACTGTCAATATTTATTTCAATTTTTTTTAAAATTATTTATTAAGAGTAAAAAAACTTAATAACCAAATAAATTTGTATTAAACATTAAAAATATAAAATAATATAAAATATTATTCATTACAAATTAAATTTTTTTAAAAACAAAATTAAACTAATTAAAACAACGACGACGGAGGAGGCTTATTGATGCCAAGACCGTACGACCAAAAAGGAGAAGTACATAGATCATCACCCATCTTTGATCTAATTTCTATGACCATTTGATGAAGCTGAACATAATCTGTCGAGAGACGTTCATATTGTTGTTTCAAGGATAAGAACTCCTTTAACTGAATGCTCGATACTGATGGAGAGCTCCCAAACGTTAAGATATTATGGGCTGACTACAAGTTTTCGGCCGTGGTGGTGGAGAGCCCATAAACCTGATTTTTATCAGGTTCACAAATCCGGATAGAAATCTGGATGGGTTGAAAGATCGTCTCCATATCTCTCCCTCAACTAGCTATTATATGTGTCTTGAATTTTTTTTTGAAAAAATAATTATATTCAATTCAAGAAAATAATAACTTATAAAATAAAATAATTGAATGAACATACCACAAAATACTGAGCACGGCTGTCCACGTACTGTTGCACCCCCTTTTAGCGGTCTTGACTCCACACATATGTCTCTACAAATAACTCCATTGGACTCGGCTCACGTCTAAGAGATGTAGCTCGTAAGGAAAAAAAAGATAGCAAGTTAAATATATTTATAAGCAACAACAAATTAATTAACAATAAATTTCATCTAAATTAATCTTACCATCCGCTTCGCATGTGCACTGAACGAGATGAAGCTATTGGTGTGTGTGGTCATCGAACTATGAATTTGCCAGTTCTGGTTGAAAGCTCCGGATTATGAGCATCATGAGAACCGCTCAGATATCACGTGCTCAATATATGCAGCCCATATATCTCCCAAACTACCACCTTATTCTATCCTTCAAGACCATTATCTCTCGTATATCTTTTCTTCTTTTTTTGGGTGTCATACCAAAAATTAGGCAACCTACTTCCATAGTAACTAATTAGAATTTAGAAAATAAAATTATAAATAAAAAATAAATATTATTTTTGATGTTACCTAGTTGCCGCGCGATTCTCCCATACCCTCTTGACAATATTGTTGTCCACATTATCCCACTCAAATTTATTCTGTATATATAAATAATTCATTGAAAATAAAAATAGTGTAAGATATAAAATTTCAAAAATTATTTATTAAAAATAAGCTAGAAATTTAAAATTAACATCTATTTGAAATCGCTGAAACCAAGTATCGATATTAGGTCTCCACTCAGGATATCTGGAAACCTGACTCCATTAAAACAATGAAATCTCTATTAACGATTTAAACACCAATGTAATTGCCCTGACAACCTCAATGTTTATGAATATGAAATTAAATAATAAAAAATTAATTAGTTATTCATAAATTATGTTATAAGTATATAAAAAAACTAAAACCTAATCAAACTTACATTGAGAGGTCATCCTTCCATTGTGCTTAGTACTTGCGGGTGAATTGACCCCACTGTGAAGGCATACCGCCTCTGCGTTGTGAAACCACGCTAGAAGAGGCAACATCACAAGTTGGCGCAGATGTATCACCGTGATCAGTAGCTAAGGAGATGTCCTCCTCGCTGCTAGAAGAACTAGTTGCAACCATCTTCTGACAAAGTATTGTAGTTTTTATTCAACGCATCTGCACAAATGTTTATGAATTATAACATAATTAACTTTGATTATTAAATATTTTTTTTGGCAGCACCTCCCCTATATTGGAGACTACCTATAGTGTTCAAACCTGCAATCTTTAAAATAACCACAATCCAATTGACTCCAGTGACATCATATATACAACCTAATATTTATAAAAATTCAATAGCACCTCCCCTATATTTGAGACTACCTATAGTTTTAAATCTTACAAATATTGATAATTACGCAAATATTGCAAAATCAACTTTATACAACCTAATATCTATAGAAATTCAACATCTATATTTTTTCACCTACCATTAATACAAATTCAATAATAACATTTAAAATTAATCAAAATAAGAAACAACATAACAAACAATATTATCCTTAAATTAATATAAACAATAACATTTAAAATTAATATTTCAATCCACATTTAAAAAATAAATTCAATAATAACATTTAAAATTAATCAAAATAAGAAACAACATAACAAACAATATTATCCTTAAATTAATATAAACTAATTAAATTTAATTCTATATTTCAATCCACATTTAAAAAATAAATTCAATAATAACACTTATTGCAATTCAAATAATAATATCCTAAAATTAATATAAACTAATTAAATTTAATTCTATATTTCAATTCACATTTAAAACATAAATTCAACAATAACAATTATTGCAATACAAACAATAATATCCTAAAACTAATAAATAAAATAAAAAAAACTAAATAACACTACACAAAACATCCTAAATACAAAATAAACAATATACAAAACTAAAAAAAAATGCTACATCAATTCAAAATAAATTTAGAAATAAAAAATGCTTACCTTAATGGTATGTTGATTATAAGATTTTATCTACAAACAATACACAAAAAAAAACACAAAAAAAATATCATAATAAAAATTAAAAAAATACAAAGATAAAGAAAAAACGTTACATATCTTTTAATATGTTTAAAATTACCACCAAAACAATAGAATCTCTTCTAAAAACTAAATTGAAATGAAGAGGAGAAGAGAAATAGAGATGAGAGTCGAGAGAAAAATGAACCAAATGGGGGGAGGGGGGCTGTTATATATCAATTTTCTGATGGGATTAATGATAAAAAAATAATTGTTGTCAGTGGCATTAAATTATGTCGATAATTTTTGTTGGTAATTAATTCAAAATCGCACCAAAATTTTTGAAAATCTTGCCTCGCTTTTTGAGCCGTCGGTCAATCCATCGGTAAATAAGTCGTTAGTGAATCTGTCGGTAACTATGTTGATCGACCACACCTCTAACAAGTGTGCACTCCGGGATGTGCGCTTATCGTCAGTGAAGTCGTTGATGATTGTGGCAAAATCCCATAATTTATTTCCAACTTTCGATAAAATACCAACAGGTACCAGTCCGTTGGCAATTCCATCAGTGATTGTGGCAAAATCCCATAATTGTTTTCCAATTCTTGTTAAAATACCAAAGGGTACAAGTCCGTCGGTAAGGTCGTCGGTGAAAATATTAAAATTTTTACAGTTGGTCCACATATTGTTGTTTGTCCTTCTTCATAAAATCTTGATTTGCAACCTTACAGCACGCACAACACAATGACAAGAGCTTACAATTAAAGAAGAATAAATATTTCATATTCCAAAATATCATCCTTAATATTACATTATAAAAATAAGGCTTTACAGCATGTTTAGTTAGAATTGTCATCTTCGTCCTCAATTGAATTGTTATCATCAGTTTCATCGTACACTTCAATATTGTTATTATCTTCTTCATCAACATTCTCTAGTCCACTAGTAGAGCTCAAAACAACATTTAACTCCTCTACATTAACATCAACAAGACTATCGTTGAAAACACATGAAAATTTGAATTTTCTTCTAAGTCAATCGAAGGAGCAACTTGGTGTGGTTCAACCAACTCATTAGCTTGAAAAACTTCATCTATCACACTTGTGTCTTTATTTTCATCTTGAACAACCTCGACAAGACCCCTGGGTTTTGTTTTTAAAACGGATAAGCAATCAACTCTTGATCGATTCTTTCTAAAGGAAGGGGTGTATGTGTTATAAACTTATTGGCATTGCTTTGTGAAAACAAAAACATCGTTTACATTATGGTGTCTAGCTTTGGAGTTGATTTCAACGAGACCATAGTGAGGACTTACTCTGATTCCTCTGTTAGTTGTGTCATACCAATAGCATTTGAATAAAAACACTATATTCCGCTCGCTATGATATTGCATTTCGATGACCTCTTCCAATCTACTATAGTAGTCAACTTCAAATTCACTAGAAGTTGATCCCTTAATACAAACATTGCTATTGTATGTCTTTTTTCCATGCCCGTATTCTTCAGTATGAAAGATATATCCATTGACAAAATATCCATTATAGCACTTGACTTTTCTTTCAGGACCCAAGCTTATTAAAGATAGTGAAATAGCAGCACTACCTCTCATTTGATAAACATTGTATATTAAATACAACAACAGTCAATAAATGGGTATTATGTAATATTGACGTATAGTTAATTACATTGTAATAGATAATGAGTTTGTGATAGGACTTATATGTGTTCTAAACCATGTGGCAAATTGTTCATAATTGAAAGATCTG